CACCTTTGTTGCAATGTATTTCCTGTTGTCTAACTGCTACAACAAGCAAGCCATGTTTGGGCATGTGCCTCATCACCAAAGTTGAAACTGGTTCTTTTGGTCTGGAATATGAAAATGAAGTAAATGTGGAAGGAAGAGCCAACCTTCCCTGTGAAGGATGTTGCTGGGGAAAGATGAGGTGGCAGGCTGAGTGATGCAGTGAATGGATGACAAGGCAACAGCTCAGAGCTCTGGCTCTGGCAGGACCTAGCCATGGAAAGGCACTCTGTAGGTTCCTCCCTATGCAGAGCACAGCAGTGTGGAGATAAGGAAGCCACAGCTGTGGCACATCATTGCTGTCAGCTGCCGTTTTCCAGCCCCTGGCTGGCTCTGGTCATTGTCCTACCTTGCCCTGGGTCTGATGGTGAGATGCAGTGTCCCCAGCCTGCACTGACACCAGCCTTTGAAAGATGTCAGGTTTCTAAACTGTGAAGAAGATATGAGGATAAAAGAACAGCTTGAGAATGTCTGTAGCTGTGTGCTGTCTGATAGATATTGAGATGCCCTGTGTGAACCTAACTTAAAAAATTTGAGATGTCCTGATACTGGAAAGATCAAAATACATGGCTCTAGCATTTCTGGATTTTCTCATTTGTATGCTAGGTAAAAACCCTGTTTTTTTTTTTCTGCTTGATTTGCCTAAAATTTGCAAGTAGAGTTGGCTTGACTACGGCGGCATGTTTTGGTGAATGTTATTTACCACTGGAGTAGAAAAGCTCTCTGGTGTAACAATGAATGAATGAAAAATAAAAAAGAAAGATAAACATGAGAATAGGAAAAGGGGAGTTTGCAGGTGAGTTTTGAGATGAAACAGAGGTCATAAAGGACAGAGAGGGCTACAGGAATCCCATTCATGATGGCAGCAGGTGCATGTAAGAGTTCTCATAAACTGATGTCAATCTGGTGTGAAAGTACCATACAAACAAGCAGCCATGTGTAGATGATGAGAATCAGAGAGACTGAGACAAGGAATGGAAAGCAGAGAGGACAATTTTCAGCTGGCATGGGGTCTCAAGAAGTGGCTTGAGGAGGAAAGGGCACATGGGAGAGATTGTTAGGATTTGCCAGGATTTCTGGTGCAGTGAGTAGTGCTGTTGTTACACAATCACCTTCAATTGGAGAAAGGCTTTTGGTGAGAAAGATAAAAGGTTTAAACTCACGCCTCTTCTCAGTGTGCTGTATAACAAATGCTTGCCAGCATAGAGCAGACAGTAGCATGGTGATGGGGAGGAAGGCGCAGCTGGGGAGGAGTGAGGGGCGGGGAGGGGGGGGGGTGGGGGAGGGAACAGGCACGGCTGTTTTTCCTGGCAGCTGTGCCTTGCATATACCAGCTCACTGGAAACCTGAAATGGAGAAGCAGCCAGACACTCCAACTAGCTCCTGTGTAATCTAAAATAGAAGATAGCCATGCAGTACACACCAATAAATAAGCTCTGCTGAGCAATTTCGTACAACATCTATCTCACTTTAAACACCAGAACACCATCTGTAAGTTATTAGGTCTTAACTGTAGGTGGAAGGTTTCTTTTGTAAGATCTCGTCTGGTCACTCGGGTCAGACATTCCATGAAGGATGCAATTTGAAAAGCATTAAAAACAGAAATTCTGTTCTCATGTGCTAATATGTGCTTCAGTTGTGTGTCTTCCTCCTGTGCCTTTTTCTCCAAGTATATTTCAGTCCTCTGTGAAATCTCCCTGCAGACCTCCCTCCAGGCCCTTCCTGACAGACTGGTGCTTGAGTAAGGATGGTTATCAGAAAGCAACTCTGTTCTTAATAAGGGGACAGATTCACATCCACTCTGCCTGACAAACACTGCTGATTATCTACCCAGCTAATTAATTATAGTCTGCTGTATTCTGTTATGGTGTAGAATTTGATTTCTTTGTTTAAATGTATGCGTTATGTGAGTAAGTATGCGATAAGACAAAGCCACTTCAAGCTGAAGCATTGAAGTTTTGGGTTAAACTTCAGCTTTTGGAGTAGGTTCAGACTTCCAGAGTAGGAAAACTGATTAAAAGGGTCTCCTATCTGAGGATGGATTACGATTCTTTAGAATATTAGCATATAGAACTGCTGCCTTCTGGTAGCTTTGGGCAGTTTAGCTTCTCTAGGACCTCTGCTGTTCAACATCAGAGTGGTTGAAGCAAGCCTGCTGATGGTACTGAGTCATCTGCTGCAGTATGAACAAGAGCTGACTGCAAAGAAGTGCAGAAGGAGCAGTCAAACAACAAGTGGTGCATAAGCTGAATTGCTGCCTTCCACTATGAACAATACCAACTTCCCATTTAAGGTGAAAAGCTATGATACAACCACTACCCCTGAGAAGGAAGCTGTGGGGTTAGCTACATATCAGAACATATCAGCCAAGTGTGTGTCAGGAGTCAGAGGAAAGCAAATCAAATGCTATGACCTTCTGGTAGTGGAACATGGAATATGGCAGGAAACACAAAGATAACACTGCTGTAGCAATCCATAGCTAACCTTATCTGGAAAAACACAAAGAAAAGGTTTAGAGATGGGCAACAATGGCAAAGATATGAAGCAGTTTCTGTATAAGGCAAGTCTGAATAACTCTGCACCATGTAGTGTGGAAAGGGGTCACAAGATGTGATAGCACATACAAAAGGCATGAGCAGTTGGACAAGTATGTTCCTTCCAGCATAAAAACCTGGCATCTGTAGAAGGAAGCCAGCCATAGCTGGGCCTGAAGCAAACGTCAGGAGCTAGTGCAATGCACAGTGCTGGAGACCTGGGGGAGTTTGCAATGAAGGGTGCTGAAGTGAGCTCCAAGGAAGGTTGGACAAGTAGCAGGGAGTCAGTGAGACCCAAACAAATCACTAACTAACAATGTGAATGGAGTAAGGAAACCCATAGGCTGACATTGGTCAGGGGGAGGGAGAGGCAAAAGAGGAAGTGCTATGTGCACTGGCCTCATTCCTGCTCTTGAGGCCACTGCCTTGGGCTCAAGTTGGAGGCGTGCTGTGCTGGATGAGCCCTTTATTTGCACCCGTGCAGCTGTTCTTTTATAACAAATTGATCTCTGAGTGATGGGAGCTAGTACTGATATAAGCTGACATCATCTGAATCAGCAACAGCACAGCACATTTGAAGAAAGGAGGATGTGTGTCTATTTTTGGCTTGCAAGGCACAGCTGCCCATTGTCTTCTCTCACAAGACAGGAAGGGCACAGCCTGGAGTATGAGGTTACATCTCTCTTAGCATGTCCTGTATTTCTTAATAAATGGACCAAAACCCAAGAACATTAGTAAGTTCTTAGCTGTTAAATAAATCAGGGCTTTTTTGTAGCAGCATCTCTGGATGTCATGAAAACTTCTCAGCATGAGAGGTGATGTTTTAATGTATAGAAGCACTATGCATATCTGAGAAGACATTTTTGAATTCTAGGATGGAGGACATCTTGAAAAACGCTTAATGTGAAATTAAAATTGAAGAATGGTTGATGTAGTGGATGTGATGATAGCTAAGGAGAGATTCAGGTCATATATCAGTGAAAATTTCTTCTCCCAAAGAGCGGTGAGGCAGTGGCACAGGCTGCCCAGGGAGGTGGTGGAGTCACTGTCCCTGAATGTGTTCAAGAAATGTGTAGATGTGGCACTGAGGGATGTGGTTAGTGGGCGTGGTGGGCATGGGCTGATAACTGGACTAAAAGATCTTAGTGTTTTTTTCCAAACCTAATGATTCTATGATTCTATAATTGAAGCAGGTAGTACTTGAGCAGACTTGATACAAAGCTGTTGTCGATAGACAGTCATGAGCTTCTATAAAGCTGATAATTATGGCTATCGAAAGATGTAAAATTACCAGTTTAGGAAAACCAGTGAAAGCAAAATAGGCATGTGCTAAGGAGGAGAAGATACCTCATAAATGAGAGAGCTCTAAAATTAACTACAACACAAAATGGGAGAGAGTTTTAGCAGAAATTTATGCTGTTGCTGTTAAATGTAACTTAAAGGGGAGAGCCTGAAAATGTACAGTGACCTCAGCAGAAAAAAAGTATATGAAATGTTGGGTTGTATATAAGGATGATAGCAGAACAAAACAAAATCGAGAAGTTGTGTTTGACTTTGATAGATCACAGTATTTAGTGAAGCCTTGCAAAAGTGATAGTGACAGGACAAGGGGGAATGGTTTTAAATTAAAAAATGAAAGATTTAGATTAGATATCAGGGGGAAATCTTTCGCTGTGAGGGCAGTGAGGCCCTGGCACAAATGCCCAGAGAAGTTGTGGGTGCCCCAACCCTGAAGGTGCTTGAGGCCAAGTTGGACGGGAGCCTGGCCAGCCTGAGCTGGAACAGGAGGTTGGTGCTGGGTGGGCTTTAAGTCCCTTTCACCCTAAGCTGTTCCGTGATTCTATGGAAAGTAATGGAAGCACTGCAGTCGTTGGTGCCGAGTTTGAACTACAGAAAGCCAATGAGCAGTGTGTTACCTTGTTGCATGCAAGCCTTGTTGAATTCAGCAACGATCTGGCAGGATGCGGGGATAGGGTAGGGCTCGAGAACAGTCACATGATGGCTGTAAGACTAAAAAAAAAATGTGCAATGTGGATGAATCCTACAGCAAATTATTTCCTGATGGCGTGCTCGGTGCTCAGCGCCCTCAGCAGTACCCCCATGTGAAATAGCGCGGGGCTTGCAGCAACCAGGGGGCACGGGGAGGAGGCCGAATGCCTCTGGGTGCGTGTAGAAGCAGCCCTTCAGCTTGCTGCAGTCGGGGCTTCGGGCCACAGCCCCCATCTTCCCCCTAGTCTAATCTAACGCCCGTGCGCTGCAAAGCCGGGGCTGCCCGCGGCTCGCAGGAGGCCGGCCCGGAGGAGGGGCAGCGGGTGCCGCCGGGCGGGCCGCGCCCCGTGGCTCCGAGCCGCCGGGGGTGTGGCCGGGGACGCCGCTTTCCGCCCCGCTCGACGCGCCCGGGGAGAGCCGCTTCGTCCCCCCGGGGGCGGGATGTGGCGCCCGCAGCCCCGTTCGGGCGGCACCGACAGGCGGCGCCGCGACGGTGGCAGCGGGAAGGAGGCGGCTGGCCCAGGTGAGCGGGGCCGGGGGCTGCGGGGCGGCACGGCGCCTGGGAGGGAGCCGGGAGGAGCCCCGTGAGCGCGACGGAGCCGTGATGGGGCCCGGGTCGTCCCGCAGCGGCTCTCTCCGCTGCCGGAGGGGTCTGGGCGCTGCGCCCGGCCCCTTCGAGTGGGATCCGAAGTTTGGGTGGGTCGGACGGCTTTGGGACGCTCGGTGCGGGCGGGCGGTGCGGAGGAATTAGATACAAAGACTCGTTGCTTGCTTCTTAGTTTCAAGCCCGCTTTGCTTTCTTAGTTTTCAGTCCCCGGAGGTTTTGTCTTGGCGAGGGTTCTCGCAGCGTTGCCTAGGAAACTTTGTTATAATGCTGAAATAATACTTTTTTTTCCCTTCTTGCTTTAACCCTAAAATTCCTATTATTCCCCCTCTGCTAGTGTGGAAGCAGTTACATTACTACATAAATGCGTGTGATTTGTACGTGTGTGTATATATATACATACATACATATGTTTGTGTATATAAGTGGATGTGTATGTGTACGTACATCTACATAACCATGTGCTGCGAGGGAAGTAGATGCACTCTTAGAAGTCAGCAGTCTGGTACCTCCAAACTTGGTTTAAAAAGGAAGCTGCCATTTTCATGAGAAAAAGGCAAGCTCATGTATCAGTCCGTGCATAAACGAACACTGAATGGCTGCGGCTGGCGGGGCAGGTGAGCTGCTCTCCCTCCATCATGCAGCTGGTAGCCTGAGCAGGAATCATCTCTGACAGTGGTGCTGGTGAAGGGCTGGAGCTGTGGGTAACACAAAAAAGTAACGTGCCCTTCTCAAGAGAGTTCAGGAGGGAAGGCACAGCACGCACCAGGCACATCAGCTGCCTTTCTGGCTTTTTTGGATACGCAGTACTCGGAAGCAAAACTTCCTGCAAACACTCCAGTCATCCTTGCCAACATATCAGTGGAGAGCAGCTCATTCATGTTTGGGTAATCCACGCTAATCTCTGTGTACAAGTGGTTGAGTAACTTTCTGCTGTGCTTCTGAATAGTGCTTTAAGAGCTCTGTGGTGAAGTGCCTTTAGCATAGAAGCTTTTCTATGTATATTACCGAGCATATACCGCCAAGTGCTGCTAGCAATTAAAGTAGAGTTTTGAAAGAGATGCACAAAGTACCTTGAGGTGCATTATCTCTGTTTTTGTCCTTTTATTTTTGTTCATTTACTTGCTAATTTGCAATTGGCCTTGCAATAACTCTTGAAAACGGGAGAAAAGTGCCTCTTTACTTAGTTTTGTTTAATTTCCAAGTATCTTTAGTTATCTTGTATTAGTGTTCTCTCATATTATTGCTGAAATCGAAGTTGTGGTTTCTTTTGGGAAGAGATGGACAGTGGTGTTACAGCCAAAGTTCTAGAGCATCATTTCCTATCAATAGGATTTTTAGGCACTTTGCAAACTAAGAAGGAGGGTTTTAAAATATGTGGTCAAAAAGAAAAATAGTTGAGTTTAGAGGTTTGTGATCCCTTAGAAATGGGACCGGGGATCTAAAGGACATGGTCTTAATATCAAATGTACAGAACATTTGTGAGTTCCATCTGTGTGTTTTTTCTTGCTTCCTGGTGCTATTAAACTTATCAATTTTCTGTATGGTTCTTTTAGATCGGTCAGTGAAAATAACCTAACATACACTGTACTTACATACACTTAGCAGCACAAAGCTCTGAAGTGTGGTCACAGGCAAGTGCTATATTGCCACTGGCTTTCTCCCTCTTTAAATTCAGATAAATCAGTCTTTGTTCTCTTCAGCAAAATGAAGTCAAAAAGTTTGGGCCTAAGACGCTGCTTCTGGAATTGTAGTGGGGTCGTGCAAGAAAGGAGGATTTATTAGCACCAGTATGAATTAATTGTAAGGAACAGAAGGACAGAAAGCACTGCAAACAATGTTTTGTACTCACAAAAGCACAGCACCCTAAAGGTTAATTCTGACTTAGTTCACAAATTAGGCACACTCGGGTAGGTTTTTTTTTTTTTTTTTACTCAGCATAACTTGGGCCTCCCGCAGCTCCTGATCCACCTGACCTCTCAATCGAGATCTACTGGAGTGTGTGGCACACCCTGAGTGCTCATCAGGAGTTATGATTCTTTCATTTCAGTGTTTGGTTTCCTTGAGCAAATGTTCTTCCCAATTAAGTGTCAGGCAGTCTGCAGCCTTTCCTGCTTTTGGACGTAATACATATTAACAACTCATGTGACAATAGCTTTTCTTACTTCTTTTGGAGGACCAGGCGCAAAGGTAAACGGGGAGGAACCTGTGGAGTTGCCGTAGAGATTTCCAAGTTCATCCTTAGCACTGTTGCGTCTCTTTCCAGACAGCAGCCCTTTCTTGCTGTGTCACTTGGATTAGGATTGAGTGTGTGGTACTCAATCCTACTCGGTGTTCTTGGAGGAAAACTGCCGCAAAGCCCTTATGTGTGAGGAATGAATGTGCCCTTTGTAAATCAGCAGTCACACAGGAAAAACTTGGCCCTCTGGTACTGAACAAAGGCTTCTGTGCCCATGTGAAGGTCTGTAGTACCCTTGTTTGGAGGTGTTTACTTAATTCAGCGTAACATTAACAGTTTAACAGTGCAATTTGTGCTCTGTTTTATCACTGCATTAACTGCTCACCTGAAAAGTGCTTTCAGGGAGAGATGTTTCTTTACCCAGTCTCCCAATCACAGATGCTATGTAACAGGAGCTGAGATTAACTGCTGATATTCTTTGTTTGCTAAATGTGAGTTTACCATATGAAAACTGAATCAGCAGTTGTCATATTTTATTGACTTATAAATGTGCAGTTATTTCCCTGTTCATTGATGCTGCAAATGTAAAATGGCTTAATGACTAATCTGAAGTCTACAGGCAGAGTGGTGAAATCATGTGCTTGCCTGAAGTACGGTTCCTTTGTTCAGCATGATTCCTTTGGTGCACGCAGAATTTGGATTCTGTCTCCCCTTTGTGTGATGTGCCACATCTGCGTGCTGTACAATAATGCCGTTTTTATCTCAGATCCTCCTTCACCTAACAGCCTCTTCCCAACACACGCATCTCTTATTATCTCAGTATGATATTTAATAACAGGAACACTGTTGTCTAATGAATCAAATTGGTGGTACTTTCTATTCTTTCCCACAACCTCCCCCCCCCCCCCCCTTACTTACCTACCTTTCTTTCTGTCTTACAAATAAGTTTGTTTGATGTCAGAGTAGTTTATCTCGTTTCTTGGCTCTTTTTGCCTTCTCTCAGTATGCTTATTTGTAGCAGCACCAAGTGCAAAAACATTTGGATTTTACATTGAAAAAGCAAATACTTTCTACATAAGCAGTTGTGTAATCAGGATTAGAGATGGAAAATGCATTTTCTTGATAGTACTTATCTATCTCCCTTCTTTTCAAAGATAGGTGTTACCTGCGTTTGTAGATAGTATCAAACTGTACACAAGTCAGAACTGGAACTGCAGATGAGCTAAGCAAGGTGTATATGCTAAGATGATAAAATCTTCATGTAAAAGAACTGTATGAGAGAAGTGTCTGCTTCAACCTAAGAATAGAATAAATGTCATATATGTGAAATTCTCTTCCACCTTTCCCTCCTATGCACAGTGGCAGAGGAATGGGATTTAGCGGGCTCTGGCTGAGAGGTTTCTTTGTTAGGGTCATCAGGGCAGGAAACCATTATAGAGGAAAATCTCTTAGTGGAGCAACTCTGAGGCAACCTGTGGAGTGAAAAGTCAAGAGGTTGATGGTGGGTATTGTAAAACTAAGTGAAAATGGAAGGGTTGGTATCCATGGACAAAACAGGAAATGGGAATTGCAATAATTAGATACTCTGAACTGTTCTGCAGGTCTCCGTATTAGTACAAGATGAGGCATGTGGCATTGGTGTAGCTTTTCAAAACCTTGCTAAATTCCATATGGTAATATTAATGCAAAGTAGAGTCAAATGGTAGGGTTGTTTTCAATGTGCCTGTGTATAATCAAGTTTGACAGTGGCTTCATGACCTTAGTGATTGATGGGGTGAGCAGGATAGTCCCTAGCTCAGCTCATTTAGCTGGCCCCACTTCTGGATTTATTGTTAGTCGTGCTTTGGGTCTAAAAAGTGTTTTGAGCATTCTTAGAGTCTTTTGTTTTAGTTTTGGAAGACTCTAAGGTCTCCAGAGAGCCTGGGAAGGGAAGGCCTGGGTTGCTAGGCTGAGGCGCTTCCTGTTGCAGACTGTCCGTAAAGACCTGGGGGATGTGGAGCAGTGAGCTGGACAGCTGCTTCAGAACTGGGGGTAGGCTCTTCCTGTTAATAGAAAAGTGCATTGCCCTCTGAGTCTGCACTGATGCTTTGAACTGTGATCTGTGGGAGCCGAGCTGTTGATCTGTGAGCCCTGCTCCTCTCATGAAAGTGAAGGCATGCCAGCCTCAGGAGAGTGGGACAGACAGTTGCTCGGTTTGGTGGTGTTTTGCACTTCCTGCCAGATCTCTTGCCTAGCAGAACAGTGCATTTCTGTTTGTTTAGAGCAGTGAAAATCCTGAGAAACCCTTGCTGAAACTGCGTGAGAAATCTCCTGGCTGCCGTCACGTGTAGTGCAACACCAGCACAGATGTTCCTCAGTGTGGTTTTGCTCCTTCATGTCAAACTCATTAATAATCAACAGGTATTGCATTTCCTTTCCCTGGGAAATCTGAACTTGGTTGTGCTGAGACTGCTGCTGTAGTATTCACATATTTGTGGTCTGCCTGAGTCCTGTATGGACTTGGCTGGGAGACGGGCTGCTCAGCTAATGAGCAGTGGGAAAGGCTGCTTGCAGGCTTCCTGAGCAAATGAGGACAGGAGAAGGAAAATCATCTTTGTCAGGTGGTCTCAGTTTGCTGCAAGGTGAGCAGAGGCTAACTTTCACTTCTCACTTTGTATGTGGTGAGCACTAGTAGTTGTGTATCTGCTCTTTCAGCAGGAAGCAGGGGATTTTCCTGATTATGTTGCCAGTTTTGACAATA